TAGTTATAATGGTAATTAAATAATGTTTACATATGTATAAAAGCCTACATTAAAATATGTCATATACATTGGTCTCTTCATTAGAAATTAGCCTACTGATTGCCACCATTGATGGACATATTTTTTTAATAATATTAAAAATATCTGTATGACATTATATTCTGCAGTTCTTCCCTGTTGTACCGAATATCTATACTTTTCAAATTATCATATTGAAGTTAGAAATTCAAATATTGTGACAAAATTAATTTTGTAGGGTGCCACAAGTTTGTTAAAATTTCCAAAGGGTGCCGCGACTAAAAAAAGGTTGGGAAACACAGCTCTAAACCATTCTCCTTGAAAACAGTGCTCAGTGTCTCAATAACCTGTCACAGTTACTAACAACATAAGCTGTTATTTTAGTCTCTCAGATCCTGAAAGAGAAATTTAAGTGGTGAGCATTGCAAAAAGAAAAAAAAGCTGTTGTTTTTTTTGTTTTTTTTGCCATCTTACAGTCTTCTAGCACTTTTAGATAGTTGCATGTTCTCAGGTGGTCTGCAGCATTAGTAGTCCCGCAAAGGTGTTATCTTGTGGGTTGTTGCGCTCTATAGTTCCCTGCACCAGCTCTAGACGGAGTTCCTCTCCTTGCTCCATCTGCAGGATGCAGACACGTGTTGCAGGTGCACCCAACTTCCTCGGGTTCTGCCGCAAGGAGGCAGCTACCTCTCCACCTCTCTTTAATTGAGCCAGAGATGGGCCTGGTCCAAAGTCCAGTGTTACCACAAAGAGGTAAGCACCAGAAGTAGGAGCCCGAAATATGCCTGTTTTTGGCGAGTACAACTGTCCATGATTTAGGGTCACGCTTTCAAAAAGTATTGTGCCAGATCCATTAGTACCTTCAGTAGTGCTGGCCAGGAACATAATTGGACTATCTGGGAGCTGACGAAGCACTGTTTGAAATCAAATGATAATGATAAGATATTAAAATATGAATGCTTGGAGGAAAGAAAAAAGGGATATGATGCAATTACAACTGACTTTTACAGGGCGTGCTTTTGTCATGTAAAAATCAACTAACATTTACTCTAGGTTGAAAGTCAAGAACATTTTACATGCTTAATGTAACATGTTCAATAACAACATTATCTGCATTATTTCTGTCAAAAAAAATTTATATTTAGTTATTAATGGCAAGGGTCTCAGGCTTTCCTCATTAGGAAAGTTTTTAGCTGTGTAAACAGCTTATTCAGGGATTGAAAATTACACAATGTTAAATTCTTGTTTAAAAATACTAACATACATGGACCCCTGCACATGACGTGGGGTTGAAGAATTTGTTCCCACAACCTATTAATTTGTGGCCATGTTTTAATTAATTCCCCCATTTTAGTTAAATTATGGCCATGTTGTACTAATTTTCCCCCTCATTTTAATTTAAATCATAGCCACGATTTAACTAAAACAAAGTTGTGGGGATTAATTCAATAGAATATTAAAATTTTGATGTGCCAGTTTTTTAATAGAGAAAGCCCTGTAAGTGGCATTTGCAGCGGGGGAAACAGGATGAATTCACAGTGTAATTCAAGAAAAAGAGATATATTATTAAGTGTGGTGAATCGTTTTGTAAGGTACTATATGTTTAATTCTCCTTAATATCTCCATACCTGCGGACTCCAGTGATGCATCCCTCCTGCTGCGGTAATTCACTCGTTCTCCTGTCTGAACAGCTCTGTTATCTGCTCTCTTCTTTTGTTTCCTGTTTTGTTGTTTTGCTTCCTTTCTCTTCATCAATGCTGACAATTTATTCAAATCCACAGACACCTCAGAGCCAGTAAGTCCCTCTGTATTACTGAAAATGCTGTTAAAAACTCCAAGGTGGGTCTCCAGGTCCTTACGCAAAACCTCCACCTCAGACTGCAGTTTCACCTCCACACCTCCAGAGACAGAACTTTTAGTGCAGTTGCAGCAAGAAGGACAGCGATGCTCCTCAAGCTGTTTAATGTGAGCTCCAAGTTCTTTCACCATTTTCTCTAAAGTCCAGAAGTCATCATCAGAGTACTCTGGTAGTTCCTCGGACAAGTCAAACCTTTCATCCCCACGTCTCCTTTTGGTGCCCACCGAGACCCAGTCTGAAAGCACTGAGGGCTCATCTGCTGCCGCCACCTGAGGGGTAGCAGAGTTCAGCATTGAGGCCAAGCTGCGACTATGTCCATTGATCTGCTCTTGCATTTCTCTGATGCTTTCCCTCAATTCTGGAATAGAGAAACGTCTTTTGTCCTCATGAGACAACAATATAAACTCCAACACCTCTTCCTCCAGCAAAATATCCAGTATCTCCGAGTGACGAATGGCGTCCTGAAGCAAGGTGTTGAAAATGCTATGTAGTTGCTGGATCTTCTCGACCTTGACCCTGTCCTGCTCCTGGAGTGTTTCGATGTCCTGCCGGCTGCCCAGCAGAGAGGCCTGGAGCTGGGTCACATTGTGCTGTAACATTCTGCTCTTTTCCTGTTCAAAGGCAAGGGACTTTTGCACATTTAGCAGCCCTAGTTTCAGATCTTCCACAGATGGAATCCAAGCACCATTGTCCTGATTGTCCAACATCTCCTGTGCCGCACTCTCACGGGCCAACTTATTTGCATTCGCTATCTTCATCACGTTAGCTACAGTTTGTTCCAGTTGGGTCACAGATGCTCCAAGAGCGATACAGTCACAATCCCCACTTGCCGAACTTATATTCTTGTAGAACTCTGCATAGAGATGGTCGACATCAGTCTCCATCTCCTGCATGGTGCTCTGAAGAACACTGATGTTGCTGCTTAGCTCATTAATGCGGTCAAGAACTGCTACCTTGGCTGCCTCCACCTCTAAACCGGTCTCCATAAACTGAACCTGGCTGTTGCGGCCAGTCTGGACTATTTTCTTGTCCAGATCTCTCCAGCCATTCTGGAGGTCCTTAATGTTTTCAGTCACTTGTTCTTGGCCTTCAATCAAGCCACTAAGTCTCACTGTGTTGTTGATGACTTTGTTGTCCAGACGTGTGATGGCCTCCCAAACAGCTGTGCTCTCATAAGACTGACTCTGTGCAGGATCAGTCTTCTTTTCATGCCAAATCTTCTGAAGTTCCTTGTCCAGCCTCTCTTGCTCCTGCCACACTTCAGACATTGATGTGTTCAGAGAGTGGAGATTCACCTAGAGCAAGATACACACATTTAGTACAATAGTTCTGCATGAATAAAAGTTACTTGAGGCTGGTTGAGGTTGAGTCAAAATTCTGACCTGTAACATCTTTTGGTTACGCTTAATTTTGACATCCATGTCTGTCTTGAAATTCGTCAGGTTGTTGTGCAGCATGGTTTGTTGTGCGTGGAGCCTTGCTTCTACCTCATTGCGGTGGTTGCGAAACTGAGCTTTCACCTCCTCCAGCTTCTGGAATCCCTCCCTCAACTCTGCCTCAACAGCCTCCTGCGGATTGTGCTCCTCACCACCAACCTCTAGAGGCTCAGCGACCCTCCCCTGCCCCTGCTCATGTCGGAGTTGGTCCATGTCCCACTGCAAACCCTGCACCTCCTGAAAAAGCCGTTCCAGGGTTAGATTGAAATTCTCCAATACAGGCTGCAGCTGAGACATCACAGCCTCTTTCAAGATTGGTAGGAGCCCACGGTGAAGGTAAGGTATTTCAGGGTGAGGAGCACCTTCATTTGCAGCATGAGGATCTGGAAAAAAAAGACACGTGAACTTTGAATTGGCCTTGTTTAGAAATAATCTTAAAATAGATGTGTTCTCATTGGACATCAGTTTCTAAGAACATTCTAAGCAACTTACAAAGAGGGGAATCCCAGCAACAATAATGTTTTGGAGAATAATAACCACATGGCCAAAAATAGAAATTTGATTCTATTGCAATTCTTGGATAATAATTTTCCCTGTGGTACTGTTTGTCCTTTTTGACTCTGTGCTGCGCATGAGGAAACATCGATATCATGTTGGAAAGAGTTATATCTCTATTTCCAGCTCAGCATGGGCCATTCAACTGACCTTTGAACCTTTTAACTGACCCATCAACAGCCCAAGGCCTTTCACATCCCCTGCATTGTAAGAAATGTGTTTTGTTACATTTTTGTGCACAAGTTTTAGTTACGAGTTTAAAGCAAGAAGCGATGTGTACATGTACAAGTTCCCTGCTGGGAACCTGAATATAGAGGCCATGTGCTGTTTTTATTCTTTTTATTCACATGCTGTCAAAACTGTCCGGAAAAGCTTCAGAATTTATGCTCCAACTGTTTTTTTCCCTTGTGTTGTAAAGTTTAATATATATGACTGAGTTGTGTTTTATTAACCTGACAACATTGTTTTTACTCGCTGAACCACATTTCATACAGACACAAAAGCTCTGCCTACCCAGAACAATGGTAACAAGAAGAAAATGATCTATTCAGACTTCAATTTTTTTATTTCTTTTGTCTTCTATTTGGAATCCTCTGTGAGAGAATAAACTTTTAAAAGAGGCTCTCAAGTGTTATTTATGTGACAAATGTGCCCTTACATCAATACAGCTCCAGCTGTTCAAAGTTTTCACAGTGTCGTGTGTGCCTGGATTCAATCTATATCTGAACCTCTGTCATTTCCGTAGACCATTACATCACACTCACAACCATACAATGTATGGAGGGACTTTTTTTCCCAGGGAAAGAGAGGATATCCTGTGCAGGAACTAGTAATGAGAAGAGACAGTGAGGAGTTGTCATAGCAAAGGAATTGAGGTTTTCCCCCAGTCTGCAGCATTATTTACTGTTCTGTTAATCCGGCATCCTTTGAACAGAAGGATGTAAGAGAGACCGGCTCTGGACGAGACAGACAGAATAATATCCCCATAATATCTCTGACAATGCATATTACAACCAAAGGAAGTGTTTTCAGTAGTGCTTGTATGTACAAGAGAGTGTTTATATATATATATATAGAGAGAGAGAGAGAGAGAGAGAGAGAGAGAGAGAGAGAGAGAGAGAGAGAGAGAAACCTGGAAGTTTTCATCACCCTGGTTTCCTCAAAAAGCCAATGGCATTTTTTAATTGGCTTTTGGATTATTGCAGAAAATAAGCTCTGTGACCAACAAAGGTTTATGATTCTTACACGTTTTATCACAGTAATCTTCACAAATAAACATAACTTTAACCAATTCTGAAGCCTAAATGCAATTGCCAGAATAAAAAAAACTGGAGGCTATAAACCAAGGACACCATTGTTGCAGTACTTCAACGTCACAACCTTCTGAAAAATGTTCCGTTTATTTAAAATCTACAGGTTGGAAAGTTTGAGTTAGAAGTTTGAGTTGCAAGAGCGCAAGTATAAACACAACAAGACTGTAAAAGCGGACTGATGAGTTTACCAATTTGGCGTGTTATAAAATTTAACATACCTCTCCTCTCGAAGTGTTGATTGTTATGTTGGTCATGGACAGAATGAGGGCTGTGCTCATAGTCATCGATGGGCTCTGCTGCAGTTTGATTCTCTACATCAGGTTGTTGAGTTTCATAGAGTGGACCGCCAAACATTTGGTAATCATTCTGCTCTCTGTTCTCCTGAGTTAGTTTTTTATATCCTAAGAAAAGAGAACAAAAAAAATAGTACCAAATGTAAGGAGACATTTTGGTTGTACTGACTGATGATGCCTTTGCCATCATGCAGCTCTTCTTATTTTGTTATTCAATAATGTGACCTGTGCACTTTAACCTGTGTGTTTGAATCTCAGGAAGGTCATTAGTAGGAGTGCTTAGTATCAGATTAATCAGCAGCATGGGAATTTCCACGTTTGCATCCAAAGCCTTTGTTTTTGTCCCAACATCTAGCTCGAAGGATTATTTTTAAAGCTGTGGATTTCTGTTTTTGTTTTGTCCATGCTCGGACTGAAGCATACACGTTAACACCCTGTGTGGGCTTGCCCCTTGCCTTCAGAATGCTCATACACCCTTTTCCGTCCTCCCTTGTGGGGCAATAACATTCCCATAGCCAGCTAATATTTGCACAAACACACTTCCTCAGTTTGTTTCAGCAGTCAGGCCAGTGTCACAGGTATATAGTCATGCATGGCTAGAATGCTGTACTGTATTAACCATGTTTTTATTAGAGATTATTCAATTACAGATTGTAAAAATTTAGACCTTTAACTAATTTAAAGATGAAAGAGTTTTTACACCACATACGTCTGTCTGTTGCTTCATGTCTCCCCGGATGTGCTGTGCCTGCCTTGGTGGGGTCTTCAGATTCAGAGATGTGGCTGTCTGTGACTAACATAGAGCACAGCGAAAACAGAGAGAAAGTAATGTTGACCGGTTTAGCCGTTCTTATGTTTTCAAGAACATATGGCACCTCATCATTTAAAAGCACCTTTTACACAAGCCATTTTACATCTATTTAAGACAATCTGGTCCAATTTACAGTAGATGAAAGAGGGAGATGTTTATATACTTTTGTCCAAGCAGTGTATTCAAATCTCTAATGTTGCTACATGTATACAAGAGAGGAGTAACGTCATGTCAAAACTTTTTGAAATGGCATTACAAGTATAGAATCAAACTTTTACCACAGGTATCAAAGTTTATCACTGACTTATGAAGCAAGTCAGGCATGATATTGCAAGCACTTCTTGTTCTTGGTTCCAGCATCACCTTAAGCACTGTTGTGTCAAAGCTCATCAGTACCTGTCTCCTCACAGTTTTCCCCAGCATGCCCAGGGCAGCATCGCCACAGCAGTGCAGTGTAGATTTTCTCCTTCTGCCTGTACACTGGCCGAGTGGACAGCTTGTACCTGCATACAAATAAAGGGATTTGAATTAAGTCATGCTACGCAAAGCTATGCACTTTGCAGATTAAGTTAGAGAAGTAATACATGTTTTTATGTTGAAATACCTCTTCTATTCTAACTTAATATGCAGAGGCAACAAGTTAGTCATTTGTATGTTGGGTATCCCGACCAATCAGTGGCTCAACCAGTAACATGAGTTTGGGAGCAGGATTTGTTCAATCAATAGAATGTTACAGTGTCTGTCCACTTTTTCAGCAGCCTTGGCTCCACAAGTATTTTCCCCAACATTACAAGCTTTCATTTGAAGCAAAACATTTTTTTTGAAAAGTGGACAAAAATACAGAGTACTTGACAGCTTTAATGAGAGAACTACAATACTATGAAGCATAGAATCAGAATCAAGAGCTTTATTGCCAAGTATGCTTGAACACACAAGGAATTTGTCTTGGTGACAGAAGCTTTCAGTGCACAGACAAGATGACAGTGACAAGACAGATAACAAAATAAAATAAGTGAGTAAAAAGAAATATATACAGTATATATATATATATATATATATATATATAAAGTATACAAATAATACAAAATATGAATGTACAGATATGCTATATACAAATTGTGCAAGTGAATATGAATATGGTATGATATGTTAAAGGGGTCATAAGATGCAATTTCACGTTTTCCTTTCTCTTTGGAGTGTTACAAGTTGTTCGTGAATAGACAAGATCCCTAAAGTTGCAAAGACTAAAATCTCAAACCCAAAGAGACATTCTTTATAAAAGTTAAGACTGGTCCACGCCCTCCTAAAACGCCTCGTTTAAACACGCCCCCACATGTCTACGTCACTGTGTGGGAAGATTTGCAAAATGCTGCCCAAATGTCCACGCAAAGAAAGAAAGCTGCCACCGCCGCCACCATGCCATGGAGACGCTGTGTGTTTTATTGCGAAAGTGAAAATACTTTGTTTGGCCTTCCAAAAAAGGACATGACTAGAAATCGGTGGTTAAGTTGTATTTACAACACTGTTCCAGAACAGTTCAACCCAAATATTCAGATGTGTGCAGCACATTTTATGGAGGACTGTTTCCTGATCCTGGTAGAGTGACTACAATGTTCTACTGTTCTGACTCACAGTCTGTAAGTACGTTTTCATATTTAAAGAATTTGCCACTGATGATTCAAACGCGAGTTTTCATCAGTGTAGAGTAGGGCTTGTTGTTTGTCATTTCTCAGATCACAAATGCAGACATGGTTTTATGTTTACGCAACGCGTAAAAAGACAGTATAAGTCATTACAATCAGCAATTATGTCCCCACTGGATGCAACAAATGCCTCGTTTATAATGGGTTTTATTTTTTTTGTCTCTTCACGCCGGGACACGGCATCACAGTATGGTAGGGGTGTAACATTTCTGTCACACGCTTGAGGTATTCAGCCGATCACAACACACTGGATAGCTGGCCAATCAGAGCACACCTTGCTTTTCAGACCGATGAGCTTTGTAAAAATCGACGCGTTTCAGAAAGGTGGGGCATAGAGGAGAATCAATAATGTACATTATGTGGAAAATAATGTGTTTTTTTTTTTTACTTTAAACCGCATAAACACATTTCATTACACCAAATACAAAAAATAATGTTATTTTTAGCAACATTATATGACCCCTTTAAATAAATATAAATGTAGATAGTGGTGGGTATTGCACATGCTTTTATTGGACAGTGGGGGCATTTAACTGTTCATGAGATAGAAACTTTTCTTTTCTGGCTGTTTTGGTGCTCAATGCTCTATGGCGCTGACCAGATGGCTTCAAATGTTCAAATGTTGCCATAAGTGAAATAAAAATGTATAAATATAAAACTATTGATTTAAAGATGTTCATTTGGCGCAATTTATATCGCACAATTCTCTGATTGGTGGTGATTTCTTTGCAGAATCATGGGTAATCTATGGTATCGACGAAAGCAGATTAACAACCTCATAGTTCATAGGGGTCTGTTTTTGAAAGTTAATAAGTTATCTTACAAAATAAATGTTATGTTATACAAAAGTTATGAAAATGAAAGGAATTTTTACTTCCACGTCCCACCTGTTGCACTATGGCAGGTGAGAAAAGTGTTTGAAAACAGTCATTCTGTCTGGTGCCTCTAGTGGCACAGAATCTACATTTCACCCTTAAAAAATGATGTATTGCTTACATGACTAGCTGGCAGTCTGGGGTGCCGTTAGGACAGGGACTCTGGGACTTGATGGTGTACTTCTCAGTTCCACAGGATACTGCCACAGTAACAGCACGCTTGTGAACAAACGCACACCAATTCCTGGAAGGGAGAGTGAACGTCAGCCACACAACCTAGTACGTATACTCTGTAGTTAGGAAACACAGGAAGTATTCAGTTTGGTCAAGGCCAGAAGTTCATTGTACTAATACACTTAGCAATAATACAGTTATTTTTGTGTGCTTGTGTTTAACTGAACCTTTTCTCCTAGTTCTCAGGGTCAAGCCTAAAGATATTTCATTGTCTACAGGCAAATATCAACCTACAAATGATACATTAAGCCCTTTAATGTGTTTCTTGGAATGCATCCATGGTAATCTTTCATTAGTTTGATGAATCAATGGCCGGATGTTTTCTTCAAAGTTCTTGGATTAAACGCCATTTACAGCAACATTAAGAGTAAACATGCTGGGATTCCTGCACTGCTATACATCAAGAAAGCTTTTCACAACTTAAATAGTTTACCCAGGGTTATTTTTGAGAGTTTCCCTCTGCATATAAAAGTTATGTGACTATACAAAGCACATGAAGATTTAATAAGGCAAGCCCTGAGGCAGTTTATGATTGGTTGTTTGTTGCTAAACAACTTGACGTTACTTCGTCACACACTGTAAACATTTGTAGTTAACATCTTATCAGGGTCATTACAAGCTTGAAACATTGAAACAGTTCCAATCATATGTGTATGCAGAATTTTCAGATCCATTTGAGCTTTGAATGTGTTGAAATATTTGAACTTTTGCAGCTAGACCCTATGTAACCCTCAGACTGGATGTAATGTATCTAATCAAAGCTATACGATTAGTGAAGAACAAAGTAAGAATTACCCATATATTTTCACTAAAACATTGTTTAATAAAATATATTTCTTTAAAATAGGTGGTTATGAATAATTACATCCAAATAATACCCATTGATCAATTAATATTCATGTTGATTAACCCTTGAAAACCTATACTTTTCTTTCAAAGGTACTGGGATCTAATCAGAACGAGTCTGAGCTATCGGTTTTATTAACTGGGTTTTAAAAAGGTTAACTGAAATGTGAAAAACCTAACTTTGTATTTTTTAGTTACTGGAAATAAAAAATGCTTTGTTTGTAATTACATTGCAAACATTTGCATTTGTATCAACCCATATCCACCTTGTTTTGGCACACAGTTGCTTCCTTTTAAACCAGGAACCAAAGAATAGGTGTCTAGGTGCCAACAACCATGACGCATTAATAATAGTGCTGAGAGCATGGCATCCCTGATCTGATCTTGACAGAGCCCCCCCTCTGACCTGGGCAAGCCCAAAAACCCTGTTCCTGCGCCAACCTGTTGCATACAAATTAGGAGCGCCATTAGAAGATAAACAAAATGGAAGGGTCATTGCTTCACACAAAGGTCAAAGGAGGTCTGTACCACACAAGTTTAGAGAGGTTGGTTACATACACTGATTGAGGGTAGCTGACCAGACAGACAAAACACACTGAGATTTCTTTGAGTTCAGCTGTGAGGTTCTTTTCCTTAGGTCACAGCAGAGCTGATGATGATGAGCTGTAGTTATTTTACATCATTAGAGCTGATCTTTGAAAGTCTTTATAACTGATTGTGAGTAAACCGGTAACCTCAGAGGTTTGTTGAAGTTAAAGGCTGGACAGACAAAGCTGTGTGTGTAATTGGTTGTTTTAACTTGCTCAATCCTCTTGATGTATGATTTATAGTCCACAAGCAAGACAGGTCAAAACCTCCCCTCCATTTCTGAGTTGTGAATTGTTTTGGGTGTGATTGTTCAGTCTTTGGTCAATGGTTAATGTGTTCGGTATGAGCTTGAGAATGAGAAACTCTGTCCATGAACTCTGTACATGAATGTAGGGCAGATCAGGTCAACAGGACCGTTACTTTTCGAAAACAATTTTGATGACTAAATGACTGGGAATACGCCACATTGCGTTTTTGATTTGTGATCCGTATCTAAACCCACAGGCCATGACACATCCAACATAGCCAAGTGAATCAGTCATGCAAAGTTGCACTTCAGTTATAAGCCAAAACACAACACAAACATACTTCTTCCAACACTACTGGCCCTTGTAATAGTAACATGAAGAGAAGCAAGTAACAGCACTATTTATGGACGATTAATAATACCTAATGCATTTTAGATCATTAGTCTATGAAACTTCCAGCCTGACTTATCCTAGAGAGCTTTACGCAAGGTCTGAGCTGACAAAATGCAACTGTATAGCATACATGCCACAGTTAGTCTTACATAAAGAGCTTTAGTGCTGGTCTCCAAATAGAATAAACTGTGAGACAAAAAACAACTCACATTTTCAGTATACAAAGTGTCACAGTAAGGCAAAACATCCAAGTTGCACCAATTCTTGTGCAACACAGTACATTTTCTGGAAATGCACACTAACTGAAAATGTCAAACAGAGGGGAATCGTATTGCAGATGTAAAGGCATTTGTCTGGTTAGAGTTAAAACAAGGAGTATTTCAAGCATTACTTGGTCATTCCTCTGACATTATATTTGTCTTGATAACTAAGCTGACTGTAATGTGCTCATTGATTAATAGGATCTGAAGGTAAAGGGATTAAAGATCTCAAGACAAGTTACTTAAAGCACGTGAATCATTATAGTTTACAAGCCTGTGATTTTGCTTTATTCTGGGGCAGACTGGGATTAACGGATTAAAGGATGGTGCACAACAGACTTCCTTCTCGCTGCCTTCATCTCTGGTTTACGTTATCTTCTGTAGTCCTAAGAAGAGGTTAAATTGTGCTGGAACTATCTGGAACCAAATTCTGGCACCCTTGAAACAAAAAGGAAAACAAAATAGGCAGTTTGTTTGTCAGTCCATTCAATTTAATGTATGATCTAGTTGGGTACACACACTGTAAAAAATGACTGTGAATTTGACGGTAAAAGACTGTAAAAATGCTACAGTAAAAACCTGTTAAACGGTTTACAGTAAATTCCCCTACTATATACGGTGAAAAACTGTATATGACATTACATGTATTGGACATTAATTTTACGGTAGTATACCGTTTTTGGAAGTGAAAAAGACCGTATAATTTACAATGAATAACCATAAATTGACATTCCCAGAATTCCCGGTGTTACATTTCAAATTTGATGTTTTTTTATTGAAATAACTATGTTTCCTCTTAGTTTTTTCTTATCAGTTTTGTATATTAAGGTTGTGTGTTACACCTAATGTTGTTAAATGAATGTGTATTGCATTATTTCAGTTTCATGTGTGTTACCATGATGGTGTTTGGTGTTTGTGTGAATGACACTGTGCACCTTCTATATATGTTATTATTTAAAAGCTGCTTGTGATGGGCTTTGGTTCATCATGTGACTTTCTCATCACCACCTGGTTATCAGTGTTTTACAAAGGTACAAAACAGATTTCAGTACTTCAATAGGTTGGTATATCAACATTATATCAGTTCATGAAATTACGGTATTTAACTGTAAATTTAAGTTAAAACCGTAAAACCTAAAACGTTGCTACCGTATTTTTTACGGTAAAATTCTGGCAACCACAGCTGTCGGTTTTTTACCGTAAATGTTTTACGGATTTTTTTTACAGAGCAGTACACACATTCTGTCTCCATTTAGTGAGTTTACTTGTTCAAAAACTAGAAATGTAAATTTTATTGGTTGATAAAAAGTGATGTACAGAACTAGGTGTTAAATTCTGGATCGCTTGTGTTAAAAGTCTACTGGACTAACACATACTGCAACTATATATACTTCAGTGATGTTTGCAAATTGTGTATGCTCATATACAGCTCCTTTTCCCTAATCAGCACCTTTTCAGGCTTAAATTAGACTTAATGTCACTTCCTGCCATATAGTTCTATGGATGTGCATCTCTGTAAGCACATTGCTTTTCCTCTTGCTTTTTGCCGATTAGTGTCCCCTCACAGGAAGGAAGCGTCTGACGCTCTGTCCCTCCCGCAAACTTCCCTCATCCTGGGATCCTTACCCAACGAAGATACCCACGGACTTCCATGCATACAGACTGACATGACTCTAACCTTTAGCCCCTTTGTTTCATAGTTTCCCTTGGTCCTGTGTCATTTTCCAGAGAGTGTACTGAAGAAAATCTCTCTCTTAATCAGTATTTTGGTCTTGTTTTGAATATCTAAACATCCTTTAAACAATATATATTTACTTAAAGGTCCCCTGAAATGCTTAGAAATACACAGTGTTACTCTATGTGTTGACGTCATTTTAACTGAAACAGGAAGACAGGGCGGGACATATAAAGCAGCCCCGCCCCTTTTTAAAATAGCCAATAGCGTTCGTTTATATCACACAGTCTATGGGCTAGAGCCGTTCAAAGCCACATTTCACAGGGTATGCCAGCCACAATCTCATCTATATTGCTATAAAACATGCTGTGTAGAATTCTAACAGTTTCGACACATTTTGTGGTCTGCGCCAACTCGCGCATGTGATCCGCTCCGTGCTATCGTGTCTCTGGACCGGAGCAGAGTGTGTGTGCGGTGTGTGGTTAGCCTGACACAGTGCGAAACCAGACTTCTTTTTTTCCTCAATGGAAAGCATATTTACACTGTTTTAATCATTCCCTGTCCCCTTTATAGTGCACTACGTGCCATTAACTGTACAGAAAATACAAATTCTGTGGACAAGTGACCAATTTCAGCCGCGGCTTCAGCGTCTATTTTATAGGGGTGTGTGGGGGGCGGGCGCTTCGGATTCTAGAGAGCATTTGATTGGACAAAGTTTGATGAGACGCTGAAGTACGATGTGACGCGTAAGTTTATATTGATTTGAGCACAAAAGGAAACAAGGCTTTTTGACGGACAGTCCTCTGTTGAGATTGGTTAAGACCCAAGAAATAAATTGTATGCAAAACTTTTTTAGGGCCAGATCGTAAGCTAGAGCTGCTTCCTGAGATGGACCCAGGATGAAAGCAGATTAACTAAAACCACATCAGAGAAAGAAGAGTGTGTGAGATGATTTGGAAACCAAACACATGGGCATGGAGGTCAGATTCAGATCAATTCAGGGGATTTCAATGACAAAAGACGTGTGTCTTGATTATTTGACTTTGGCAAAACAAGGTTTTGTTTCTCGAGAGCATGTCATTTGTTTTGACTTTTGATTTGTTGTGATATTCCAGCAGCTGTTTTTTGTTCAGAAAGCTTGAGAAACTTTGTGAAGCGAAATTTCTATTTAAATTATTTCCAACAATTTTCATTTAACTTTCCACAAAAGTACAAAACATTCCCTCTGTTACCATGATCAGTGATATTTTCCTCCTTGTCCATAAGTACTCTAGCTTCCTCCAATTTTGTGCACCTGGGCATCAAACTCTCTTTGTCACTCTGTCTTTCTTTCGAACTATTCAGAGCTGTCCATGCGTGCCAAAATTTTTTTTATTTTCTTTCATCCACAGGCCGAGACCTCCCTTAAAGTCCACCTGTTATTTAACAAACCTTTTATGTGTCCCTAATCTAGGTTTTAATCATGAAAGATAAAACATCAAAATATAAAAGATAAGTTGCCATAACAAAATAAATGGAAGTATTGCAATTGCAAATGCAGTTTATTATTAATAGTCATCTGTAAATACCTAATGTTTATGTATAATAATGTTTAATGTTAACTCATACTAAAAAATATTAATTTAATTAAAAACTACACCTACAAAAGTTACATTTCTTTTAATTGAATTCCTTTTTTTTATAGAATTCTGTAATTAATAAATTACTGTACAATATTTGCAATTTCAAATCAAATTAAATCCCAATTCAGTACCTACATGAATTGGAGTTTGAGAGGCAATTCTCAGTTCAATTCTGAATGGGGTCATAATGTGATTTTAATCAGACCCAAACCAGATGTTCTTCCTTTAATCACAGTGACAACATATTAAATACAAGGACTGTAGGGGAGGGTGTTATCAGACTCGTGCCTGCTGCTGAACAATTTGGGCTGTAATGTATGTATGTGGGTTGACGTGAAGAGTGACCCAGCTCTTGAACAAAGATTAAACTGAGTCTGATCTCAAAGTGCAGGAAACATTCGGCTCCTATGTGCTCCAGGTAATTAGGCTGAGTTATATGGATTAGCCAGAGTTAAGAGAAAACATATGGGCACTCTTGACACTTTGAGGAGATGTAGGGTCATAGGACACCGAATTTTCTTAGTAACAGGTACTTCCCAATGTTTGCTGAAACGCTTTTCCTGCGTTTAGTTTCCACATCAGTCAAATGCTGATTGTAACAGAGATGGAGTAGATAAGAATCTTGAGGAAGTGATGGAGAGGAACCCAACTTTACTTTGTTTTTACAGCAATTGTTTACAGCAAACAAGCTGATCTGCTTCAGCCTCATGTGGCATATTTTTGAAAGAGATTCATTCTTTTATTCAGCTAGGATGTATGAATAATGAGCTCTAAAATCACACAAACCATGCGCGTTTTTTATAAAAAAGCATGTAATGATCCAGATTAATAGGAAAATTACCTGCGACAACCTCCTTTTCAGCTAAAACCCTCAAGAAATTACTTTATATTTTTGTACAATACATGATTATGTGTTTGAATCAAATGAAGCAAGATGAATGAATGAGGAACAGCAACACTTACCCAGTGCGAGGTAAAGAGCCCTTGGTCTCAGTTGCACCTGATGGATCTGATGGGTCCTCTGTTCTCTTGGGCATGTCTGGAGAAAGATGTCCAGGAGTGGGATCATGGTGTTCATGACCAAGTGGATGGTGGACAGATGCATATACATCAGGGCTCTGCCTGTTTAGTCCTTGACCATGATGAGGTGCTCCAAACCCAACCAGTGGAACTCTATGGTCCAATCCACGACCATCAGACATGTCCTTCAGCTCGTCCTCCTCTTCTACCTCTGGGTCTCTGGCTCTGACCTCACATCGTGCGGCGAGAAGCAGCCCCTGCAGTAGCATGACCAACCTCAGCACCACCATATCTGTGTCCTCCTCAAAATGCACAGGAACTGCTACAAACACGAGAGAACAAGATGTTGTAAAGCCGTTGCTCTCTGGTGCTTTATGGAAACTCTCCGCCCCCCATCTCGAAAATTATCCTCTCCCTCCCTCCTGTCAGTCCACTCCCCTCCGTTCCCTGTGTCCCCCACCTCTATCTATTCCCCTCCCTTTTCTTAATAGTTTCAAAGACCTCCAACAATCCTCGGAAATGAACACCCCCCACCCATGTCCAGCTTACTCCCCGTGGAAAGGTTGTGGAGCCTGGAACAATGAGGCCTGTCAGCTCTCAAGCTTTACATGCTCAGAGGTGCTGGACACACACACTTGACTGTATGAGTGAGGAAGCAGTCCATTTCTCTTGGCTGGTCACCAGAAATGTTACGCTCTTATCACCTCTTGCTGCTCTAGACTACACTCGACACTAAGTAGCTCAGGAAAGGGATGTTAAAGCTGAATGTAAGTGTATTACAAGAAGATAAAAGGACAATGTTTTTTAAACATAAAACTATTTAAAAAGTACTCAGTTTAAGAGGAAACTCCACTATATAATCCCTGTACTTCTTTTTTCTCTTCCCCATATATTCAGTAGCAAATAGCTTGAAGGGATAATTCAGCATAAACATGAAAAAAATGTCAATTGTTCAAAAATTATTTTGAACTTTCTAATAATCAAAGAATCCTGAAAAAATTTATCAATTTCCACAAAAAGATTAAGCAGCACAACTGTTTTCAATAATAATATTATTTGATAATAATAAGAAATGTTTCTTGAGCACCAAATCTGCATATTATAATTATTTATGAAGGATTATGTGGTAATGAAGACAAATTCAGCTTTGCTATCGCAGGAATACATTTTAAAATATATTAAAATAGGTAAGTTATTTTAAGTTTAATAATATTTCACAATACTACTGTTTTTTACAGAATTTTTGATCAAACAATTGCAGCCTTGGTGAGCATAAGGGACTTCTTTTGAAAGCGTAAAAAGATCTTAGCAACCCCAAACAAATCCACCACTCAAAGTTATGATATTTTTCCAAAACATATAATACAGTATGTACAGTATTTAAGTCTACATACACCATTTATGATACTGTCATGATGATTTTGCATAATTTTTGAAGCTCGAAAGCCCAAGCCCATTCTTCGTAACTGCAGAGAAGCAATGGCTAAATTCTTTAAAGAAAGTCATATAGGTTTGGAACAGTGTTTTTGGGTGAAATATCCCTTTAAGAGATATGAATAACTGGGAGGTCCTTTGCTGGCAGCAGTATGTGAGGAAACATATGATGTTTATTGTTTAGTCAAAGGTGTTTAGGTCAAAAGGTGTTTAGGTTTCTGTTTAGGTTTCAACTAAAACAGTGTTTTAGTTGAAACAGTATAGTTTCTCTGCTTTACCATACTTACAGAAACAGATGTTTTAGTGGTTTTGTACAAACAATGATCAAATATTGTGCTAGTGCTCATTGTGAAGAAATACTTCTATATCACAGAGTTTTTCTTTAGTAAACTGTGAATCTCTAGCAACCTGTTAGCAAAAAAAAACTTGCAATCATTTAATCATTTTGAGCAGTCGGAGGGGAGTACAGACATTTTTTGTGTTAATTTACTGTTCAAATATGAGCTCATAAATAGAGATTGTATTGCTGAAAATGACACAATGATCAAGACTCATGCAGGACACTTACTTAAAGTCACCAGTAGATGTCAGTGCTGTAAAACAAAAGTGAAAGCAGGTACAGCATGCTAATTTACTGAAGTACTGATGACATAGCGTTGCTGATGAGCGAACTGCCATTCTGGCACCTTAATATCACACTTGATAATCAAGAACAAATTCAAGTTAACTGTAGAGCTAACCAAGTGAATATTTAATGATTATGATATTATGTAGTATTGTATAGCCTTTCAAAATCATCTGAGAAATAATAGTTAATATAAATATATAAATACCAAAATCATTCTGTGGATTTGTGACTTTCCTGTTGCTGTTCAAATAGCTTAAAGGGTTAGTTCACCCAAAACTGAAAATTAGCCTGTTTCACTCACCCTCAAAGCATTCCAGGTGTATATGACTTTCTTCTTTCAGACAAATCCAGTCGGAGTTATATTAAAAATTGTCCTGGCTATTCCAAGCTCTATCATTGTAGTTAGCGGGTGTTGCAGTTGAACAGTCCACAAGTCGTCAAATACAGTGTGCGCATCCATAATAAAACGTGCCTCACACGGCTCCGGGGGGTGAATAAAGGCCTTCTGTAGTGAATCCATGCGTTTTTGTAAGATAAATATCCATATTTCAACCGTAATAAACACTTTTCTCTCATTTCCGGTATCTGTCATTCGCAGAAGCCGTTCCGGCGAATGACGCAGGACGTATGTGCAGCGTGCGCGCCTCTGAGATATGCTAGTCTCGTCAGTTTGTTTATGGAAGCAAAGTTTCCTTACTTTAGCAAAGGAAAACCAGTCTCCTCTTGGCTTATATCGAAATCCTTCGACATTAGGTGTATATGACTTTCTTCTTTCAGACGAATCCAGTTGGAGTTATATTAAAAATTGTCCTGGCTATTCCAAGCTCTATCATTGTAGTTAGCGGGTGTTGCAGTTGAACAGTCCACAAGTCGTCAAATAAAGTGTGCGCATCCATAATAAAACGTGCCTCACACGGCTCCGGGGGGTGAATAAAGGCCTTCTGTAGTGAATCCATGCGTTTTTGTAAGATAAATATCCATATTTCAACCGTAATAAACACTTTTCTCTCATTTCCGGTATCTGTCATTCGCAGAAGCCGTTCCGGCGAATGACGCAGGACGTATGTGCAGCGTGCGCGCCTCTGAGATATGCTAGTCTCGCCAGTTTGTTTATAGAAGTAAAGGAAGCAAAGTTTCCTTACTTTAGCAAAGGAAAACCAGTCTCCTCTTGGCTTATATCGAAATCCTTCGACATTGTTCTTTACAAATCATCGGTTTGTACTTCTAATTCGTGACCGGCGTTTGTTTTGTTCTCTCTCCGCATTCGTCACTAATCACGCAACGCTGATATCCTATGTCAACCGCCGGAATGGGTTCGCAACAGGAGGCTTTTAATCACCCCCGGAGCCGTGTGAGGCACGTTTTATTATGGATGCGCGCACTTTATTTGACGACTTGTGGACTGTTCAACTGTAACACCCGCTGACTGCAATGATAGAGCTTGGAATAGCCAGGACAATTTTTAATATAACTCCAACTGGATTCGTCTGAAAGAAGAAAGTCATATACACCTAGGATGGCTCGAGAGTACGTAAAACACAGCCTAATTTTCATTTTTGGGTGAACTAACCCTTTAAGATTTCAAGGTCATTAAATTCATGCATACTAGCAGCATTTACAATTACTCAAATGTATTCAAAGTACTCTGTTGCTAGTGCTTTTGATTGACGGTATGCCAGTGGTTCCACCAAGAGTAATAAAAAGAGGAGCTTGGGGGGGGTCTGGGAGACACGTTTAGGAACCACTTGGTGTACATTTTTGGGTGAACTAACCCTTTAAGATTTCAAGGTCATTAAATTCATGCATACTAGCAGCATTTACAATTACTCAAATGTATTCAAAGTACTCTGTTGCTAGTGCTTTTGATTGACGGTATGCCAGTGGTTCCACCAAGAGTAATAAAAAGAGGAGCTTGGGGGGGGTCTGGGAGACACGTTTAGGAACCACTGGTGTATACGAACACTGCTCTTGCCTCACAGTTAGAGGAAAGAGTAAAGTGAAGGCTCATACTGCAGATTGAAAGACCATAAATGTACAAAAGTTTAGGTTCCGTGAGACTTTTTCTTTTTTTTTTTTAAAGTGCACTTGAAAAAAAGTGTTCCACACTGCATACCCTAGGGCAGGGGTTTTCAACCTTTTTGGACATCACTTGAAAGAAATATCACACCTAAAGAGACATCACAAGTGCTCATGCGTATGCTTTGTGCAATGTATCAAAACTCAACTTTCAAAAAAAGAATTAAATAAGATGGATATTAAACATTTAAGTGCAAGCCATGTGTACTGCAGGCTGACCCTAAAGTTAAGCTCATTAGCCGGATAGAAGACAACTAATGGGTGCAATGTGACCATATCTAATCCAGAAAAAAAACAATCATTCTGTGGAAATAAAGCATCACCAAAATTGTTACACTTGAATCTCACGAGTGTATAGCATACTAGACCAGGGGTTTTCAACCTTTTAGGACATGCGCCCCCCCAAGTTTGTCTAATTTCACTTGCGCTCCCCCCAATTAGTTTATTAACATTAACATAAAAGTAAATATCCATTAAAGCTATTAAAGCAGCAAACAATTTTTCTAACTGTTGACTAGCAGTGGGAGTCAGATTGCCCCTTAGTGGATGGCTAAAGATTTGTTAACTCATATTCATAAATTCTCAAGGGAGCGTCTCTGAATTAACTGATGCTGGCGCCCCCCTTGACAGGTGCTGGCGCCCCACAGGTTGAAAACCCATGCCCTAGGGGACACTTTGGGGATTTTTTGGGGGGGATACATTTCCAAATTAATTGGACCACACAGCCCGTAATGTCATCAGCAGGGTGCCCAGGAGTATAAGAGGGCACCTGTAATGCAAATCATCAGCTTTTTTGTCTTCAGGAGCTGTTTGTTTGTTCAGCGTGTGTGAAGCACTATTGAGAGTAAGAAGTTGAGTGACCGTTTTAGGACATGTGTGCCTCCATGTCCAAGATTTCTGACACCTGAGGACATGACCTTTGCGTTATGTGTCTCGGCGAGGAGCACACTCGTTCAGTGCTCAAAGGCACTAAATGCACTCATTGTGATAAATTTGTGATGAGGAAGCTCTGTTTTCGTTTGTACCTGTTCTCGCAGGATGTGGAAGAGGCATCTGCTTCTTGCTGCTGCCGAAGCACGGTGGAAATTCGCGTCGTGAGATTTGCAGGTTAAGCTCGCGGAGAAGCTCGAAAAGGGACTGGATCTCTCTAGATCTTCGATAGCAAGCACAAACAATAGCAGATCCCGCAGATAGCATTTTGCTGGCATCATCCAGTCATGAGAGTGAGGAAGTGGATGTGGTTGGTGACGACGAGGAGAGTGTGAGTACTGAGTAA